CATGAGAGTCCGGGGTGAAAGATCAAAAACCTGTGCGGATGGGTGTCGAGCCTTCCGGTTAATACCGGTAAAAATGAAAATTTGGTAGTACTTATATAGTCTACTTGTAGATACCGACCTAGGGATTACCAGAGTCGTATTTACTACCCTTAAAATAAATTGTTAAGTTTTGAACAATTGAAATTGCATGAGATCATTGAGCATGATGGTTTTCAAAAGATGAAAATGTGATTTACTTTCAAAAAAGGGGCATAGCATAACATGTGTATTTCATCTCTTGAGACTTGTATAAAATATATATACTTTGTTAAGGATTTCCTTCTGGGCTTTATGCTCATCCTACGAGATTTTTGTCTAAGAAAAGATGTGGTGATTCCGCCTAACTAAAGACGAGGAAATATGTGTTGAGAGTACACGGTTCTCATTTTGCTGTAGCTCTGTTTGTAAGCCAAGGCCTGTATTTGTGTGGGTTTGAATAACCATTTTGTGTAACTGGTCCTAAGCCTTGGAAACTTGTAAACCCTTTGGGGTATCTATTTGTTTATTTATTTGGTTTTGGATTAAACATATAATCGCATTGAGGAACTAATTGTATCATGTAATGCAAGTGTGAAGAATTATTTCTGTTTTCCTTTTAGAAGCCATGATGGTTGTGTTATCATTTGGGCATAAGAAATTGGGGCGTTACAAAAATTTTGAAATATGAAATTATTATTATAACATTACTCAACTAGTAAAACTAGAAACCCAATACCATACCACATCAACTTAATCTCACTTATTTCTCCAAATCTCATACTTGGTCAACTTCGTCACTTTTAATCTCATAATATTAAAGTTAGGAATTAAACCCAATAACACCCCTTTAATTGTGAAGGATTTAAAATATTAATCAAACTAATTTAATTCATCAAATTAGTAAGTTCATTATATTCACCATCTTTCAAATTAATAACACCAAACTTAACCTCACCTGCCTCATCCCTCAAACTTAACCATATTTCAACATAACCATTTTTCATGCCAAGCTACTTAAAGAGGTAATATTTTTCGCAAATTCTCTACCAATAACAATTTCACAACTTTTTCTAAAATTACCTAACCAACATGATATTTACATCAAAAATTATGAAATATGCCCAAGAGTAACATTTTCAAGGTTATGAGTTCAAAAGTCCACATTTCACATTTTTATTTTCACAAAAAATGAACACAACTAAATCATCAGCATATTATCTTTCATAAAATATCATGAATGTAACAGTTTTAGGGTTTTTAATCCCAAAACAACTTTATAATTCCAACTTAAGCATTTACTCAATATTCATCAACATTAATTTATTTTTCTCAAAAATAAATTCAAAATCAAAGATGAAAAAAAAAATATTTCAACTTTATATTTCTCAAAATAAATTTTCTAATCATAATGTGATGTAGACACAACCCATACAACTTTTAATTTTATTTTCGGATTTTTTTTTTTTTTACAAAATTACCAGCACAAGATGATTTTCCCAAATTAAGTTCAAAATACCAATATTTTTAACATTTCACATAATTTTTCTTCCAAAAATTAATCAAACAAAAATATGAGAAATACATATATACAAAGCTTCCTATAATGATATGTTTTCTCAAAATATCCCTAACATCGCTTTAATGTAATAATATGAACAAAGTTCCTACCTCAAATATGAAGAAAAGCAAATCTGAAAATGCAAACGTCACCCGATCATGAATCCGAGACCACCATTGCGAAGATCATAACGAGCTCTCCGACTTTCATTTAGAAAACTTTTGCAAAATCACACTCTAAGGACTCCCATTTGAAACTCAAAGATTAAGCAATAATAGAGAACAGAGAGAGGGAGAGAGAGCCGCGCTCTCTGCTCAACGCAAAATGAAAAGAAAAGGAAATGATGGGAAGGTATGTGGGTTTGATTTTCTAAGAATGTGTTTTTTAAAAAATGATATTTTTTTAAAAATATCTTTAAATTTTATAATATAAATTATAAAATGATATAATTTTTTTGACCATAAAATATAATATTTTTGTATACCATAAAAATATAATATTTTACTCACTATAACATATACATATTTTCATTCCTTATAAAATATATAATTTTTCACCATATGGTACACACCATAAAATCAACTATCAAATATTTATTATAATCCTATATAATAAATAATAACAACTCCTAAGTTAGTTACTACCAATCGCATAATTAAAAAAAAACTAAATAGTTAAACATGAATCATAAATAAATTCAAATTAAATTGAATCTTAAGTCATGGGTCTCATCCATAAGCGAAACATAGTCCAATTATATACCAAAATAGGCCCAACAAATTTATCTCAAATCATGATCCAAACACCCAACACTCAATTTCAAATTCTGCTATAAATTAAACTAAATACCAATCAGTCTGCGAATTTTCCCAAAATAAATACTCACCATTAAATTCCAAAATTCTTATCCAACATGCTAGACTCGTATAAGAACAACATAATAAAAATTTCATAATTTCTGAGATCGAAATTTTATATTTAAAAAAAAAAGTTTATTACAAAATTGAACCATTCTGCACATAACTTTACACAACACTCCAATCCAAATATTACTCAATTAATCTATACACTGACTATTTATTTATTTTTAAAAAACAATTTGGGTCATTACATTCAGTCAACAATTAATTGGCATGAAAGGGATAGCATAGCAATATAGAAACTGATCAAAGCTTGTATTCGACTTCTACTCTTGAAGAATACGAATATGATTTGTACATATATATGTAGAGCGAATTCATGGAAGCTGATATTAATTTAGGTAGGTGGTGAAGGGGAGTAATAGAGGTGGAAGCTGATATTAATTTAGGTAGGTAGAAATTGGTGGTTGTAATGAAGTCAAACAATTGAAATAATTGCATTGAAATAATTGAAGAACACGGATATGTGGATTAGAAGTTGGGAGCTGATATTCAATTATTGTATTGAAAAAATTGAGTTTGGTTATGACTGCTATTTTTTTTTGTTAATAATTAATTTTTTGAATTGAATTTTAAAAATAGTTTGATTATGAGTATTATTTTTTGTTAATAATTAATTTTTTGAATTGAATTTTAAAAAGACTTTGGTTTTGACTACTGATAAGAATTTTCAATAGAGTTTTGAATTGTGTATTTGGTTATAAGTTATAACTTTTTGAATTAAGTTTTGAAAATTCTTTTCAAAACTCATAACTAAACAAATTTTCTGATTTCACATATCAAATCAAACATTCAATATTCAACTCAACACTCAATTCAAAACTCTTTTCAAAACTCATAACCAAACAAATTTTCAACACTAAAATCATAATCCCAAAACTCACAAACTCAAAATAAAACTCTATTCTCAAATCATATTTCTAAAACTCTACCAAATGCTACAAAGATTTCTCTCTTTGGGCAAAGTTTTCATATTCAAACACACATATTCAAGAATTTGTATCTCCTTCTTCATAACTCCGTTTCGCCTCATTTGTACGTCGTTGGATTTATCTCATGACCTAGTTTTCATTCCACCCTTTATACGCCTTGTTCCACCACTTTTTGCATGCTGTCGGAACTCCGAAAGTTGGCCAAAAAAAAGATTTTTCTCTCGTTTTTTTTTCTTTCTTCGTCTATCATATATCTCCATACTTCTTCCTTCCTATTTCATTTCCACAATTATTCTCTCTTTTCCTCTTCCTTCAAGGCCCTTCCCCCACTCTTATATTTCTTTCCATTCTTGTAAGTCATATGCAATCATACTCGACAATACTGCCACCGTCAGAGGTTCGGTAGCCACCACGAGCTCAATGGAAAGGCCATGAAGAAAAGGGGAAAAATAGAATAATTGTGGAAAAAAGTAAGAAGGAGAAAGCATGGAGATAGAAGATAGAGGAAGGGAAAAAATAAAATAATAAAATAAACAAAAAAATAAAAAAAATAAGAGAAAAAATTTATTTTTGGCCAACTTTTGAAGCTTTAACGCCATGCAAAAAGAGGTGAAATAAAGCGCATGATGGGTGAAATGAAAACTAGGCCATGATGTGAATCCAACAACGCAAAAATGAGGTGGAACGGAGTTACAATGAGGAAGATACAAATGCTTGAATATGTGAGTTTGAATATGAAGATTTTGCCCAAAAAGAGAAAAATCTTATTTTTGGCCATTTTTCGAAGCTCCAACAACATGCAAAATTTGGGGAACAAGGCATATAAGGGATAGAATGAAAACTAAGCCATGAGGTGAATCCAAGACATAAAAGTGAGGTAAAACGGATTTACAACGAAGAAGATACATGTGCTTGAACATGTGCATTTAAATCTGAAAATTGTGCCCAAAGAGAGAAAAATCTTATTTTTAGTCAAATTTCGGAGTTCCAACGGCACACAAAAAGAGATGGAACAAGGCATATGAAGGGTGGAATGAAAACTAGGCAATGAGGTGAATCGAACGACGCAAAAATAAGTCGAAATAGAGTTACAACGAAGGAGATACAAGTATTTGAACATATTTGTTTGAATTTGAGAATTTTAGCCAGATACTGTTACTTCAATCAAACGGATATGGACGGAGGGTTTACATTAAAAGATGGAAGAAACTCCAGGATTTAATTTGTCAAAATTGAAACCCTGTGATTTAAATTGAAAAACACGCAAAATCTTGAAAAAAAAAATTGTAATTTGCCCAAACTAAAATAATCATATTTCATAGCTAACCAAGAATCTTTGCATAGTTTCAAAAAACTCTTCACTCATGATTTATTTTGCTACAAATTTCAAACTTTAGGATTTTTTTTTTAATATAATTGTTGCAAATAAATATTACCAAAAAAATAGGACAAAATGAAAAAATCAAGGTACAAACCAGCATTCGTAAATCATACCAAACAAAAGGGCAAAATGAGAAAAACAAAAAGCAAACCTCAAGTGCTTCTTACATGTATAGGGATATATATTTTAATCTTCACATCCATCTCCTCTCCTAATTAAATTAATCAACTGGCCATGGAAGTTAGTTTGCCATGCGTATTTCTCTCTCTTTTCTTTCTTATTATTGCTTTCAAGTTCTTGTCACGAGCAACAACTCAAAAGAATCTCCCTCCAAGCCCACCGGCTCTTCCCGTCATCGGTCACCTCCACCTCCTCAAACAACCTCTCCATCGAACTCTCGACGGACTCTACCAAAACCTCGGGCCGGTCTTCTCCCTCCGGTTCGGGTCACGCCTCGTGGTGGTGGTGTCATCGCCGTCCGCAGTGGAGGAATGCTTCACCAAGAACGACGTCGTCTTAGCCAACCGCCCTCGTCTCACCATCGGCAAGTACTTCGGCTATAATTACACCACCGTCGGAGCGTCCAATTACGGCGACCACTGGCGCAACCTCCGCCGCCTCATGGCGGTGGAAATCTTCTCCACCAGCCGCCTCAACAGCTTCTTATCGATTAGGCGAGACGAAATCAAGCTTTTACTCCGTAAATTGTATCGACACTCGTCTCATGATTTCGCCAGAGTGGAATTGAAATCCAAATTTTCTGAACTGACCTTTAATATCATCATGAGAATGATCGCCGGAAAGAGGTATTACGGAGACGACGACTTGTCGAACAACGAGGAGGCGCAGGAGTTCCGAGAGATCGTGAGACAGGCATTCGAGTATGGTGGTGCATCGTACCCAGGGGATTTCTTACCGATTTTAAAGTGGATTGATTACCAGAGTTTTGAGAAGAATTTGAGGAGACTTCATAAGAAAATGGACGACTTCCTGCAAGGTCTGATCGATGAGCACAGGCGTGACAAGAGTAAGAACACCATGATCGATCATTTGCTTTCCTTGCAAGAATCACAGCCAGAATATTATACAGATGAAATTATCAGAGGACTAATCCAGGTTTGTGGACTCTCCCGCTCTCTCTATCTAGCCATCACACAATTTTTATGCAGCAATGCTGCAAATTTTAAAATTTTATTCAAAAAAACTGAAAATATGATTAAGATTTAATCTAAATATAAAACTAACCATGTAACTCGGAAGTGGGAAAAATAAAAAAATAAAAAAATCGATCAAACAGATTCGACTGGATCGACCAGCTATATTTAATTTTTTTTTAATAAGATTCGGTCTGTGCGATTTTTTAATTTGATTTTTTTAAATTTTTGGCCCAGTATCAGCTTAAACATCTTGTGTATTGAATTAAACCGAACCATACAACTAGTTCAATGCACAAGATGTTTATACCGATACCGATGGTTTCAACATATATTTTATTTATAATATATATAATCTAATAATATAGTAATATTATTAAGTATAATAAATTATTAAAATTAATTGATTAAAATTTTCATCTCTATAACCTAAACTAGTGGTAACCCGTGCCATGCACGGGACTTTATAAATTAAAAAAATTATTATAATTATCTTGAAATAATTTAATATTTTGCCTTGTGGTATACATTAAATTTATAAATTAACTTTTTTGTTTATAATTTTTTTAATTATTAGTTTAAATATATATATATTTATTTAGTGCAATTTTGTTAATTTGTATTAAAAAAAGTTGAACCTAATTAAATGAGATTAAATGAATTATGACATGCCTTTTCTTGTTATGAAAATATACAAATTGAAAAATTATAATTAAGACAAATATACAATTTTATTATTAAATGTGAAATAAAGTGATATTTAACAATAATTAATATGATATTTCTATTATTAATCCAATAATTTTAAGTTACATTTCTTTTTATTTTAATTTCATAACTAAAAATACAATATGAATATAATACACGTACGAATTTCTAGTATTTAAGAATAAGAAGGTTTCAAAATATTTTCAATATTTCATCATTTTCTTTTTAACTTCTTTTTATCTTATTTGATTTTAAATTTGAATAAAAAATTTAATTTGATATGAATTACTTTAACGTTTTCATTAAATTTTTATCAATTTTTAGAAGAACTTTCATTTTTATTCCATTTTTTTTTCTTTTCATCAATTTTGACGGAAAAAATAATAATTTCCAACACTTCATGTCTTTAAATTTTTATCAAATTATAATTTGAAAAAAAAAATATTAATGGTTGAACACTCTCTTAATTGGAATTATAGTGAAATAACATCTTGAAATAATGAAAGTTTGAGTATGTGGTTGTTTGAAATGTATAATTTGATTAATTCTCTTCTCATATTTGTATAAAAATTGACACATATGACTACATTATTATAAGTCGGATTATAGAAAGTTTTTTGAGATGTCAAACATTTTTTATTTGTAAATATTCTACCTATTAAAAGAAAAGAAAAAAAAAAGTGTAGGTTTTAGATATATATTTATCAATTTTGTTTTATGGATATAAACAACTGATGTTTCAATTTTTAAAAAATTTAAAAGTAAAAAAAAAAATGAGTTTTTTGGGATAAAAGAAGCCATCTAACTCCTCTGTACACTATTTAAGATGACTAATTTAATCACATAAAAAAATAAAAATTATATTTAGAAATTATCTCTATATATTAGGCTATTATATACAACTATAGCGTTAACAAATTAATTATAACATGTAACACCCTCAAAATAATACATCACCCAATCACTCATGATAACCATAGACATAGGAGAAATAAACATATATTTATTTATCAGAGTATTCATTACAAAAAGTGTTACATGTTGACAACAAAAATAAATACCCTACTGGCTTACAACTTTCCAAATCAACACTTGGTTACAACAAAAGAGATTTCTAACTCTTAACATATTAAGCTCTTGGCTTGAATTACATGTAATACTAAAGATAACTACAAAAATAAACCTTTAGCTTTTAAACCTCCCAAGCTACATCCTTGGAGGTGACATATCACCTGTACCTGAAAATGATGTCCCATATAGGGTGAGCCAAAGCCCAGTAGAGATATGCTAAACATAATATGAGAAATAACTAAAACATTAACATCTGATAACTGTTCAACACATGTGCATCAATACACACCATTTAGTTTATAATCCATCAATGTAGATATTTTTCGGACAACCCACTTTCATTATCATTTCCAATTCACTTTATTGACATAGTTTATTTATCCAAGCAATTCAAATGAGACTACAACTCATGAAAGCAATACTTCAATTCATCAATGATTTGAAATGAGACTACAACTCATATTATCAACATTTCCATCTTCAACAATTTCAAATGAGACTACAACTCATAAAGACAACACTTCAATTCATCAACATCATTCAGATGGATATAAAGTTTCGGGACTTTCACCCTAGACACTCCGGCCAACTTAGTTATTAATGGAGTCCATCCCCTATCTCCTCCCAAACAGTGGAGTACATCCTCTATCTCCTCCCACACATTGGAGTACATCCCCTATCTCCTCCCACACAAATATACATATACAATGTATTTAAACACTTCATCATATACAATGATCAACTTAAGCACATATTCAATGTGTTAATCTAACCGTCATATTCAATGACATAACTCAGTTGATTAGTTTCAATTTACCTAATCATCATGCAGTTCTACAACAATCACGACTATCCTCCACCGATAGCCCAAATAGTTATTTCTAAACAGATATTTAAATTTATCAAACAGATAAATTAATACACTTTCCATAGGTAAGCGATTTTCAATCCAACTATACCAATAATCACATTTTGTCCCCAATTTCATCATTTCCACTCAATTATGCATTCCCATAAGTAATTTCATTATTTTGATAAACATTTGATTTAATCCCAATTAGGACATTTTTCCTCCTTTCTCAAATATTGCTCTCATGGCCCAATCCATCCATTTCATATACAACGAATACATTAACAAGGTCTCAAAGACACATGGAGTCCCACAAATATAAAACCCCTCTTTTATAGTTTCAAACCAAAACCTAACTTTCAAAATTACCATAATTTCACTATTTAATCAAAATGACTAAAATTTATGTTAAAGCTCATAAAGATGAGTAGTTTATCCCTACCTCAAAAGAAGAGACTCAATGGAGAAGATGAGGAAACTCGAAGATGCTCCAAACACAAACTTTTTCGGATCAAAGTGAAGCCCATACCAAGCTCTATCTTTTTTACGAAGAGACTATGGTAGAAAACTGCTAGAACTAGGTGTATTTATAGAGAGAATGTGTATGTAGAGAGAGAATGTGTCTGATCTAGGGTTTGAGAAGAAAAGGAAATCAAAAAGTGAGGAAAAAGACCGTTGCTGCGATCTGATATATGCGAAGCTCACTCGAGCGAAGAAGTGGTCGCTCAAGCGACCAGACACAACAAACACCTCGCTCGAGCGCAAAATGCCTCGCTCGAGCGCACAATACAAAGCTTCAAGTCTATAACCCAACCGCACGCTCAAGCGCAAGAGTTCTCGCTCGAGCGAAGGAACACAAAACATACAGCTCGCTCGCTCGAGCGAGAAAACCCTCGCTCGAGCGAGAAAACCCTCGCTCGAGTGAAGAATACCAACCTTCAGGTCTTTCCAAGACGCAGACGCATGCTCGAGTGCAAGAATGCTCGCTCGAGCGAAGAGACACACCACTCAAATCTCGCTCAAGCGAAGGAATCCTGGCTCGAGCGAAGAAACTAAAACCCGAAGCTCGCTCGCTCGAGCGATAAAAGCCTCGCTCGAGCGAAGAAACCAAAATCAGGACAGCAACCATTTGTTTCAAACCATACCCAACCTGTTTCAAACCTACCTAACATATCCTAAAACTCAAATGCAAGGAATTTAAGGACGGAAACAGAATATAAACAATCATAACCAACCATGGGACCCGAATTCGGAATACAATACATGAAGGGAAAAACTGGGATCGCTATAACCTCCCCCCTTTAAAGAATTTCGTCCCCGAAATTAGATATATATATATATATATATATAAGTTTCAAAATTGTGATCTTTCCAATTCTCCACATGATTATAACACAACTTTTATCAACATGGTCCTCTACCAATCATTCCATCTCTTTTCAAGAAAACAACTTTACAAATATGGCTCAATATGCATTATCAACATGCATTCCTTTGAATTTCAACAAGTTCCAATATACATACTTCACAATCCCATAACATATTCAATGATAATAATATATTTGCATTTCTACAACACATTCAACATATACAATGTTAAATTAAACTCATAGTCCTGAAATGTATTCAACGATTTCAATATTTTCATAATCCAAAACATATACAATGTTCTTAGAGTTTATCAACAAACAAGTCCGGATATTTCTCTCGGACCTCCAATTCACGTTCCCAAATGGCTTCCTCAACCCCGTGATATTTCCACAATATCTTAACCAAGGGAATCGTCTTGCCTCTCAAGACTTGGTCCCGTCTATCCAAGACCCGCACCGGTCTCTCCTCATACGGGGCATCCTCATCAACCTCTAAGTCGGTCCAATCCAATACATGCGACGGATCTAGCTCGTATTTCCGAAGCATACTAACATGAAACACGTCATGCACTCCGGACAATTGCGGCGGCAAAGCTAAACGATATGCAACCTCCCCAATCCGCTCAAGGATCTCAAAAGGGCCAATAAACTGAGGGGACAACTTCCCACTCTTCCCAAACCTCATCAAACCCCGCCTAGGTGATATTTTCATAAAGACGTGATCACCCACCTCAAATGCCAAAGGCCTCCTCCTACGGTCGGCATAACTCTTTTGGCGACTCTGTACTGTAACTAACCTCTTATGGATAAGTTCAACTTTCTCCGTCGTCTCCCAAACTAACTCCTGGCCCAACAAAGGTGCATCACCCACCTCAGCCTAACACACTGGAGACCTACACGATCGGCCATACAAGGCCTCAAACGATGCCATACCAATACTCGATTGGAAACTATTGTTGTAGG